CCTACGTGGTTCCGAGGTTCATTTGGCCCAAGGTGTTTCTTCAGGTCCCCGAAATGCACTTGAGGTTTTTGGCTCTAATGGTTCCAGCCTTCTTTTGCAAAACGATCCATGCGGGTCGCTTAATAACAGCCGGCTTGCCCGGCGCCAACAGCATGGCCTGGCCCCCGCCGGGGGTCTGCAGAGGAATACTGGTCCTGGGGTCAGTCCCATGTAGAGACCACTATTCCACACGAGCTGCCTTCTCCTCCTCCTCCTCCTCATCATTCTCTCCTACTGTTCCTCGTCCTCCTCCACTTCCTCATCATCCCCCTCGTTCTTCTCTTCGCTGGTCTTAATGTCCTCCTCCTTCTCCTCCTCCTGATCCTCTACCCCATCCTCCTCCTGCTCCTCCTCCTCTTCTCACCTCCTACTCCTCATTTTCCTCGTCCTCCCCCCTCCCCGTGCTCTTTCTAATCCTCCTCCCCCTTCTCCTCCTCCTCCTCCTCCTCCTCCTCCTCCTCCTCCTCTTCCTACCTCTTCCTCCTCCCTCTCGTCCTCGTCCTCCTCCTCATTCTACTCCTCGTCCTCATCCTTCCTCTCCTGATTATCCTCCCGCTCCTGCACCCCCTCGTGCAACATGAGCTGATAGTGATGGAATGCTGCCGGTGGGCATTGCGATCGCGGAAGCGAACAACCAACAAAAGCAAGCAAACAGCACCAAAACAACTGTGTGTTGTCAAACTGCAGGGGGTACAACCATAAAAACACAAACAGCAAAACAACAACAACAATGGTTTGACAAATTGTCGGGGCATGGAAAAAGCAACCAAGCAGCACAACAGCAGCAATGCTTTGCCCATCGACAGGGAACGCAACAACCAAATGAACAAGCAAACAGCAACAAAATAACAATGCTTTGCCAAACCACAGGGGGCAGCAACAGCACAAACAACAAGGGAACTTCAACAAACAGTAGTGTTTTGGGCAAGGGGCAGGGGCAGCACCATCGGACGTAAGAACGAAGCAACAACGGGGACCAACAACAAACAATGATGTGCTGAGCAACGCGTCGCGTCAAACCGCCGCCCCAACATGGGCAAAGGACGTCCCGCACAACAAAGAAACGCAAAACGTTTTGCAAAACATTGATGTTTCTTTGCCGTTCCAGACAAAATTTGAACATTTCCAAAGTGCGCGGCAACAGAAATGACAACCCCCAAACGACCGCGTGTTGCACTGGACCCCCCCGCTTGCCGGCCCGCCCCCCCGCGCCCCTCGCCCATCGCCCCTCCATCCTCCTCGTCCTCCTTTTCCTCCTCCTCCTCCTTTTTCCTCCTCCTCCTCCTTCTCCTCGCATCTTCTCCTCCTCCTCCACCTCCCCCCCATATCCGTCTCCTCCACGCGCCCTCCCCTTCCTGCTCCACCTCCTCTTCCCTTCCCCTCCTCCCTGATCCTTCCTCTCTCCTATCCGCCTCCTTCCTCCCTTGTCGTCATCCTCCTCCTTCCCCGCCTCATGTTCGTCGTCATCACTATCCTCTCCTCCTCATTTTCCCGCGTGTCCTCCTCCTCCTCCTCCACATCCTCCCTCCCGTCATCCTACCCTTCCCCTTCCTCCTGCCCCTCCCCCTCATCCTCCTCCTCCTCCTCTTCCCCCTGACGTTCCGACTAATCCTTCTCTTCCTCCTCCTCCTCCTCTTCCTCCTCCTCCTCCTCCTCCCCCTCCTCCTCCTGCTGCTGGTCCTCCTCCTCCTCTTCATCCTCCTCCTCCTCTTCCTGATCCTCCCGCTGCTCCTCCTCTTCCTTCTGCTCCTGCTACTGCTCCTGCTTCTCGTCTTCCCCTCCCCTTCATTTTCCCCAATGTGTTCCTTTCTCTCCTCCTACTCGTCCTGCTACCCCTATGCTCATCCTCTTCCGCCTCCTTTTCCCCCCCATCCCCCTCCTCCTCCACCTCCTCGCTGTCGCCCTCCCCCCATCGCCCCTCTCCTCGCCATAACTTTCATCATTCCCATTATTTTCGTTGTCCTCAACATCAATTTCATCCTCATTCTCATCCCCCCACCCGCCGCCACCTCCACCGCCACCACCTCTTCCGCTCCCTCCTGCTCCGCTTGCTCCTCCCATCTTGCTCATGATGCTGCTGTAAGCCCCGCCTGCTCTACCATTGGCCTGCGTCCTACACGGGGGAGAGTGCAAGGGGCAAGCTACGTCCGCTTTTCCATATCTGAAATCGAACTCCTCCCAGCCATCCCCTCCAATTGCACTCGCATTATTATCCAATTGCGCAGCGGCGCATATCAGCCGCTTTGGCAGCACTATTGCAGCTTGCCCGGGGCATGCCTGCTATAGGCATGAGGCCAACCTGATCGTTACAGATTCGTCATTCGATGGTTTGGGTTGTTGCCGTATGGGGTCGCTTCTCGGCGTGGCGAGACAGCGTGCGACAGTATTGTTTTGCGTGACGGTCGCACGCGGGCGCGCGGGAGTGATCGGGGCGACCATACAACGAAACATAACAGAATCGCACACAATTGGCGACACCAAAAATTTAAGCAAAACATTAATGTTTTTGAGCCAATGGCGGCGGCAAAGAAACGGCAAAAAACACCAATGTTTTGACGCGCGCCGGAAACACAAAAAAAACAACGTGTTGCTCAAAAGCGCCCCTCCCCATGAAGCAGTTTTGGGGACCCGCAGAACGGCTGCAACAAGCGATGCGACAACGGCTGCGACAAGCCATGCGGCGCAGAACCGGAAAAGTGCAATTCTGCATGATATCGGGGAAACAAGAAAACGGCAAAAATGCGGCAATCGTAACGACAAGCAGGCCATGGGCGCGCATCAATGTTGCGGGGACCTCGCGATAATCGGTACGGGGGCATACGCCAACCAAAAAGACAACTCAACGGCAAAACTGCAACAATGTCGTTGATGCGATGTCTGTAGCAGGCAGGCCCGTGCTAAGCCCCGGGCGGCGCAGCGGCGGTCTTAGCGCCTCCCGCGGCAGCCACAGGGCAGCCGAGCGCTGCCACCAGGCCGGCGAGCCCGCCTCCCTCCGCGGGAGGCGCCGCCACCAGCTCCCCCGGCCGGCGGACCGCCTGCGGCGACCCCTCCTGCGTCTGCAGCCCTTTGCGCCGCGGCTCTAGCAGGGTCGTCGTGGAGCGCGCGCTGCCCTGGCGGCGCGCCTGCCGCGCTGCCGACCTCGAGGTCCAGCCGGAACGGGCCCGGCGGCGGGGCCGGGAAGCCTGCTGTTGTCGCCCTGGCCACGGCCGCGCCCGCCAGCCAGCGCGGGCGGGCTGGCGCCCTGCTCCGGGAGGCGCACCACCTCCACCACGTCTGGCCTCTGCGCGTTCGGCTCGTCGTAGTCGTCGAAGCTGGGCGTGAGCACTAAGCTAAGCGCCCCGCGTTCCGCGATCGCGAGCCGTTTGTGCCAGATGACGGGGCCAGGCACGTTGTAGCGTACGGCGTGGAACGCCCCGGCCATCAGTCGGCGAAGCTGCCCAGGGCCCAGGGCACTGCAAGGGCTACGCGCCCTGCTCGCCCTGGCCTGCTCCGCCGCCGGCCTCTCCAGCTCGACGCTCGCACCCGTGACCAACCTCGGTGTCTCGGCCAGGGCGACAGGCGGCCGTTGCCAGCGGCACAGCCAGCGCAGCGCGCTGCCCGTCACCCGCACGGCGGCCTCGAGCGCCTCCACCAGCACGAAGGCGACCGCGCCGACGCCCAGCCGGAAGCCCCAGCTCGCCTCGCCTGCCCCGCAGGCCGGGCAAGGGGTACACGGGTCAGGGCATACCGGCGCCGCCCCCTGCGCCTCGAGCGCTGCGGCGAGGCGGCTCGCCAGAGGCACCACGGTCCCGAGCTCAAGGCCGAGGGGGCCCGCGGCGGCAGGCGCAGGCCGCTCGATGGCGACGGCCTGAGGCGCTGGCGCCACGGGCGAAGTCCAGCGCGCCAGGCCCAGGGCGCCGATATGACGGAAGATGTGGAGTCCGAAGCCTGCAGAACGCATGTGAGGGATCCGCTCCCCTTCAAGACTTGAGCGGGCAAATGCGGCGGGACCCAGGACTGGCTACGCCTAAACATGTTAACAGTGAGATGTTCGGGCCCAGGGCGGGCCGAATGTTTTCATGGCAACCGCCCGCCGATGCACCCGAAGATCGATCCCCAGGCGGTTGTGATGGGTAAGTCCCCGCCTCGCAACCCAGGTGTTTGTTTGGGACCAAGAAGGGGTTTCGTTCCTCGTTCAGCGCTCCTGTTCGTGGCAGCTTGTCTTTCTTGTTATCGCTCCGCACCCCCAGATCTGCCGACCCTCTTCCCTGGGGCCATTTTTCGCCCTGGCCCCAGACCGGTTTGTGATGGCCCCAGGGCCCGAAAACAGACCCCATGAGGCCGAAATCGGGGGAAACCCGCCAATTGACAATTTGTGGAGTCCAAAACCTGGATAGCGAGACGACAGAAGCTTCCCGAAGGTCCTTCGAAGGGGCTCTGGCAGCTATGGGAAGAAGCTTCTGGAAAGCTTCAGGGCACACGCAGGAGATTCTGGAAACAGTCAGAAAATGCCGAAATCGGGGAAAGCCCGCCGGCGGACAAAAAACGTATCGCCAGAGAGATCTCGGGACCTAGACATCCGGCGTCTCGATTCTTTCGAGACGCGGGCTCCCGACCTCTCGACCACCTCCCCGGGACCGGTTCCTCCTCCCGAGTCCTTTTTTATCGCTCCCGAGGCTCTGCAAGGGCCCCGCAAGGGCCCCGAGAGGCCGAAACAGCTGAAAAGACTTCGTCATCGTTTCTTCGAGACGCCAGACCCAAACCCCCGACCGACGTCATGACGTTTTCATAACGTCGCCCCCCAGAGATCTCGACCCATTCCCCAGGACCGTTTTGTCGTCCCGGGTCGTTTTCTGACGGCCCCGAGGCCCGGCAAGGGCACCCGGAGGCCGAAACTGGCGAAAAACCTCGACCGTCGCGACGTTCGTTTCTTGCTCGATAGGGGGGGTCTGGGGAGGCCCTGGGTCCGTCGCGGTCCTCAGGTCCCGGGCCTCGCGCGCCTGCTGCGCAGCGACGCCCTGGGCGAGGCCGTGCTGCCGCGGGCGCCGCGGCCCGCCCCGCCGCTGGGCTGAGCCGCCGCGCCGGGGCGGCGCGCCGCGGCGGTGCCCGGGCCGGGCCGCGCTGCAGACGCCGGGCGCGCTGGTCTGTCAAGCAGTGGCGGAGCGTCCTGGCTCGCCTATGTAGTCCCACCAAAGAATGTTGTAAGAACTTTCTGTGTGGTGTGCACGACATGTTCTTGGAGCGCTTCTGGCTGGGAGCACCTTGTTCTGACACATCGGGCTCATGTTCTGAGAGCAACGTTCTTGTTCTTGGAACATGTTTGGTTCTAAGAGCATGTCGTAGTAGGCCTATAGAAATGCCGGGTCGGTCGGTCCCTGCTCAAGGTCTGGGCCTCCCAGATGTCGGGGGCTGCGAAGAGGGGGTGAGGTTAGGGTCAAGTCGGGCCTGTCCCTCTACAGGAGGAAAATTCAAAAATGGTGGAAAATAGTCTGGGGACGATTTTCGACAATATTCGAGCATTTTTTATAGTGTTTTAAAATTCTTTGTTCGTGCAAAATCCCCTTGTAGGGGGACAGGCCCGACCTAAATCTAGTTAGGGGGGTGGGTATCATGGCGTGGGCCATGGGATTTCCCTGGATTTCACGGCGCTTCCTCGTCTTTCAATGCGTCCCCGGCCCCCCCCTGGGCCGCGCACATGCCGCCGGCCATGATTTGCGCCCCCCCCTCTTGGACGCCCCCCTCTTGGCCGCCCCCGAAGATGGGGACGGAGCAGATGGGGTCGGAGGATGGCTGGGCGCCTTGGTCTAGGCTTACGATAGAAAGTACCGAAGCTGGAGGGTTTTCACGTCTCGTGCCCTGGGAGGCGATACTGGTTCGACACTGTTTCGATACTGTTCTGGGTGCTCGAAATTATTTCTGGGATGCGTTTCGTAAGTACGATGGGAACAACGTAAGTCTAGGCCTCCCAGATGGGTGCGGAGCAGATGGGGTCGGAGGATCGCGCCGCATCGCCGATGCATCGGCGATGCGGCCTCTGGGTGGACCGTCAGAAAACGACACGGGACGACAAACCTGTCCCGGGGAATGGGTCGAGATTTTTGGGGGTCGACGTCATGAAAAATCATGAGGTCGGGGTTGTGGGCCTGGCGTCTCGGAAAAATCGGGACGGAGGTTTTCCAGCGTTTTGGGCCTCTGAAAGGCCCTTGCGGGGCCTCGGGAGCGTCAAATAGCGATTCGGGATGAGGAACTGCTCCCCAGGAGGTGGTCGAGAGGTCGGGAGCCCGCGTCTCGAAAAATTCGAGGCGACGGATGTCTGGGGAGTTCTTGCTTTGCTTTCTGTTTCGCTCGCCTTGTGGCGCGTGACGGTCGTTGCCCAGACCAGATCCTCCCCCCGCGTGTGACGGCAACGACTGTACGTGGGGGGAGGGGGGGGGGGCTGGTACATGCCAGTGCGCCCGCGCAGACTGTGGCGATCGCAGCTCACCCCCGCCTGGACGTGCCCCACCCCGCCCAAGCGCTGTTGCTACCCGTGGCTCCAACCCTCCCTCCCGGGTGACGACCGTCATACCGGAGGGGTTCCAAAGGGGGTTCTTGGGGAGGGGGCTTTCCAGGAGGGGTCCTTGCTTCTCAGTGGTGTGCTCGTAATGGTTGGAAGAGTTTGTGGACCCCAGCTCTTTCGACGGAAGGAGGCACTTCGGGAGGTACTGCGGTGCTCGCTAAATCCTTTCTCGGCTTGTTTCCCCCCTTCGGAGGGGCACAGCATCGCCAAGGGTCATCTCTTTCAAGCGAAGGTGCAGATCCCAGGAGGTTTCACCTTCGACGCTTTCTCTGTGTATCTGTATGACAGCGAAGGCACGTCAGATCGCAACATGGGCCTCCTCTGTCAGTCAGGCGAGCGCGCGCATGCCGCTTCTGCCTCGTTTGTCATGGGAGGAGATTGGAATCTGTCTCCCGACACGCTTCGCTCTACTAAGTTTGTGTCGGAGCTCCAGGGCCAGCTGATTCACGCTCCTGGCCATACCCACTTTGGAACGGGGGACCCCTCCACCCCCGGTTTCTTTGTGTGCAGCGGGGGCCTCGGCAAGGCCTTCCGTAGCTGTTCGGTTGTTCACAAGACGATTTTGAGCCCTCATCGCCCTGTGGATTTAGCCTTCTACAAGTCTCCTGCGTCGTTGGAGGCTCTATGCTTCAGGAAGCCCCCCCCCCCCCTTCCGAGGGAACCTGCTTTCGGCTCGAGGCCTGAGCCCCCCGACTGGACTCATGTCATCACTCGTGCCCAGGCTGGTTTAGATGCCGTCGCCGCTGGCGACGCTGCCGCTGCTTTCAGCCACTTGTCGCCAGGCTGTGCTGCCTGGGCTGATGTTGCCGAGGCCGAGCTGGTGAAGATAACTGGGGCGGAGCTGGCGGTCAAGGGCACAAGAGACAAAGGGCCTCAGCTGATGTGGAAAAGTGTTGTGGGAAGGGACGGACAACCCAGGTATCCTGATCATCACGCCATCCTGTGGCTGGTAGCTCAGTTTCGTGCCTGTCTTAGTCTGCACTGCTCGGACCAAGGTTCAGGCTCTCAAGCTTCGAGGATAGGCGCCTTGCTCTGTGCCCCGCCTGCTACTGTCAAACGTTATTCTGTCATGTTCTCTGGCTCCTACGAACGTGTGCACGACCTTGTTTCGGCGTTGGGAGGTCGGCAGATGTCTTCGGAGCAGATGGAGTCTGCTCAAGCTCTCCTCGAATCTATTGCAGGTGATGCCTCCCAGGCGTATGCTACCTTTAGGACGCGTTCTCAGGCTGATTTGCGTGCGTGGCTCACCAAGGGTATCGGCCAGGGTGCTCGTAATGTTCACGCCATCGTGAAGGACCCCATTCCATGGGTTCCCATTACCACCTTGTCCAGGGATGGGGTCATCGTGGCCGACCCCTCAGCTTGCTGGCCAGTGAAAGGGGAGATGGGTTTTCCACGTTTTGGGGGTCAGGAGTCTGTAATCAGGACCCCCCATCTCTGGTTTCGTCTCTCCCACGTGCCACGCCCGACGAGCTCAAGGCGATCAGTAAAACATATAAGAAGACCTCGGCTGTCAGTTACAATGAATTTGACCGCAGGCATGCCCAGCTCTTGTGTGATGAAGGTCTCGTTGCTTTTGGCATGCTTGTTGGGTTAATGGAGTCGCTCGGCCAGCTGCCCGCACAGATTCGTGCTGTGCTTCTCGCCATACTCACGGCACCCACTGGCGGCTACAGACGGATAGGGGTGGCCTGCGCTTGGTACAGGGTTGTTGCCGTCTCCGACGGCTCCATGCCCTGTCCCGGGAGCAGCAACGCGCTCGTTGGTATTGGGCCGCTGGTGCGTTTCGCGGAGCTTCGGATGTGGTCTGGAGGCAGTCGGTTCGTGCCGAAGCTGGTGCCTCCAGGAAGGAAATTGGCGCCATTGCGTTCTACGACACGCTGAAGTATTATGAAACAGTCCACTTTGGCACGCTCGAAGCTCGTTGTGTGCAGGCTGATTTTCCGCAGGTGCTCACTCGGCTCACTCTTTTCTCTTATCGACGCGGCAGGTGTGTGACGATAGCTGGGCTTTTGGGCGGCCCAGACTTCGTGGACAACGGAGTTGTCTTCCTTTGATACCATCCCCATCTCTCCCTCCCTTGAATTTTATGTGTGCGTTGATGACACGAGTATTTCATGCACCGGCACTTCCAAACATGTTACTTCGTTTCTTGTGTCCTCTACTGCTGCGCTCCATCATGCTATCGCTGCCCCTAACATGATGACTTGCCAGCTTTCTTTGGATAGCATATGCACGGTTGCCTTGTGCAAAGCCCTTGGCCGTGATCTTGCTTCCGCGCATGGCCAGCTAGAAGGCAGGGTCATCCACGCCACGGTTATCCTCGGAGTGGACTACACCGCAGGAGCTGCGGTGCGCGTTTCGGGGCGTTGCTCCAAGCTCAAAGCTCGAGTTGCACTGGCTGGGCGGAAGGCTCGCCGTCTCAAACGTCAATCGGGGAACTTGGGTCGCCGAGCCCTGAGAGCGCACGCGTGCGGTCCTCTCCCTGGCGGGGCGCACGGCGTGGACATTTTTGGAGTCCGCGACCAAGCTCTACTGACGATGAGAAGGCAATCGTCCTCAACTGTTAGGCCCTTCTCGACAGGGCGCTGTCTCACTGCTGTCAGTATTATGTCAGATGGTCCTTGCTGGCGTGCTGCGTGTGCTCCGCTGCTCAGGTGGAGCGGAGAGATGGTTGGCCCGGACTCGTGTTCATCCTTTCTCGATTCAACATCCTGCGTTAAGATGTGTTTGGCAGTCTGTCTCTGCCCTTCCTCACTTTACCGGGCCCGCTGTTCGAGGCCCTCTCTCGGCGCTTCGGCTCGCGCTTGTGCGCCTGGGCTGGGCCATGGACACCTGCATCGCGATTGCGGACGATCGTGGTTCTACTTTTAGTTTTGGCCGCCCCCCCCCCCCCAGCCTCGTGGGGGCCCTTTGTAAGGGTGCCTATCACAGGGGCCTCGAGTGGGACTTGGGGGGGGGGGGGGTAAACGGGGCATGGATTGCAGGGTTTGCCTTGATGCCCCCAAAGCGGCCAACAACAGTAACGCATTCACCCCCGAACAGAGAGGATGGATTAGGGCCTGCTCTTGTGGTGCCATCTGGACTGCGGACAAAGCTCTAGCGCGCGGTATCAGGTTGACGAGCTTTGTCCACCCTGTCGGCAGGCGCCAGACAGTATCTTCCACCGCTGGTGGCAGTGCTCTTTGGGCGCGGTGGAGCAGCTGCGAACTCAGCTGGCCCCTGCCTCGGTAGTCTCGGACTCTGCGCTAGTCTGGGCAGCTGAGGCCGACGGCCACGTGGTCGCCCTCTATACCCGTGGAGCTTTCGCTCGCCCCGCCGATGTCTTGCCGCGTCCTGCCGTGGAGGGCGCCGGCGCCTTGCTGTATGCTTGGCATGTTGGGGGGCTTCAAAGCCCCGAGGGTCCCGTGGTCTCCGCCAGCGGTATGATGTGGGGCCACCTCTTCCTCGGTGGGTCCTGCCAGCGCCGCGTAGTTCGTGAGCTGTCCCGTGCTGTTTGTTGTGTATCTATGA